TATCCGTAAACAATAATATGATTTATTCAAAAGAAACGCGATGGAGCTTTTAAAATTTGGTAATTCAAGGCTTGGATCAAGCCTTGTGAACTGAGCCTGAAACGAGGTTATTATTTTGGGGCTGAAGGAGGGCTGCCCCAAGGCTGAACCCCAGCCCTGATTGAGCATTTCCAAGCCTCGGTCTGGGGCTTGATTAGCCCTGTTTCTATGGTCGATACCTACCTGGCAATTAGATCTCATTATTTTCACGGTTAATGATTCTCTCCGCGGCCGATCTTGAATCAAGACATTTTTATTCACAAAAATGTTATAGCGAAATGGAAAAAAATCCTGAAAAATACTTCCACAAAGGGCACATTGCGAAAATAAAAATGTCGAGTTCCAAGAGCATGAGAAAAATCGTCGGTATCTTTGCACGCGGTCTTTGGGACAGTCTAACTCACTCGAGTCTCTCTCTCACTTGCATGTTAGCCAGTGCCAGAGGGAATGCCTTTTCCAACACAAAAGGGATTACTCATAGCTCAACGTCCACCCGTTGAGTTGTTTGTGTATATACTATTCACTATGGGGGATAATCTGTAAACGTTGTACGAGGGGTTGTATATGTACAATTGGTAAACAGTACGGGTGCATGTGTGGGATCCGTGTCTCTTCAGTTTTACTCATTGGGTTTCAATCCATTGAGACTGGCGTGTAGCAGGGGATTAATTTGATATTCCAGGGGTAATTTGATCCGGTTTCTTCGTTTCAACTGATCCCCTCAGTTTAATTATAATTTTTCAATCAAATTGAAAACTGAAACATTAAAAATTCTACTATTTTCATCAATGCTGGGATAATTCAGCAGCGAAGTGGTAAAACGGTTCAAGTCAATTTTGACTATTGACCTGTTTTCAATGAATATCTCGGAATCTAAGGGAGGTAGCAAAAGTTTTGTTATAATCTTTTTTATAGAGCTGATTAAGAGCTACAATAAATGTGATCACGAAAATTTCGCTATCTCCCTTGGATTCGGAAATATCCCTCAAAAACTCAACTGGGAGATGAGGCGACTTAAACCGGTTTACCACTCCGCTGAATTATCTCATTTATTTTGAGAAGATGACGTGATCGAGGGTTCTTATCTACGTCATCAAAAAGCCGAGAAAAAATCGTATGAAATGAAAAAAAAAGTCGTCGATTTTGGCCCAGCACTTCCGGAGAAACAGCGAAAAAAGAATTTGAAAAATGAAACGTTTTTCGCTCGTATCTTCGGATCTACTGGGGCAAAATAGGCGATTTTTTTTTTGATTTTGGATAATTTTCTCCGATCTTTCGAATGGCGCAGCTTAGAATTCCCCATCTAGCCGGGGTTCGAAAGGATGTTTTGAAGATTATTTATTTTTTATGGATAAAATTATGTAATGAGTATTTTCAATGACGCATACACGTCCCAATTATTCCAGGTGAATAATCTCGGCGCGTGGTTACGCATCAAGTAGTCAGAGACTCGATAAATCCAGTGAGATAGTAGTAAAGTCACGGATTAGTCAGGCATTGAGTTGATCATTTCCCTCCCTCGCCCCCGACCCGGAAATTTTTTTCCAAGTTTAATATTGCACCGGAGAAAATAGTGAAAAGGACATTATTGATTGAAAAATTCCTGGGATTAGCGAGATTCTCGAGATAAATCCATGAATACAGTTATATTAAATAAGCCTTGGCATTGGGTATACCCGGGGCTCGGGGCAGCCTCCGATATGTTTGTTGCGCGCGCAACAGAGTCCCCAGACAGAATTTTCTACCTTCCCACTCCTCTGGGTTCTTCCATCCCCTTTGCCACCTCGTTTCAACTATCCAACCCGCTATCCACCTCTAACCTCATCTCCAGTCCTCTGGCCATCCCTGTACGCTTCATCGAGCAGCTACTCCCGGGACTAGGGACTAGATTTTTAGGAGATTCTTCGTTAAGTACGTGCCATGAAATGAAGACTCAATTTTTTTTGCTTTTAAGACGAGAAAACATAACTAGAAAAACCGTGGAATTTATTTTTTTCAGAACGTGGAGTAAAATATTGTTTTGAAGAATCTGAAGATATTTTCGTTGAGAAGTTGAGAAAAAAACGAATTTTAGGTTTAAAAAATCGTACGAATAATCGCCATCTGTTTCGAAAAATGAAAAACGCAATTTTTTGAATTTTTTAAATATTTAATATGAAAATTTTTCTGGTAATGTAGGTTGAAATATTCATTTGAAAAATGTGAAAATATTTCTCATTGAAAAGCTGAGAAGAAAAAAGAATTTTGTTTAAAAAATCATAAAAATAATCGTCAACTGTTTAGAAAAATGAAAAACATGATTTTTTGAAAATAATAAAAAATATTATCAACAATTATAAAGAAAGCGCGAAGAATTTTTTAAAATTCACTCTATCTTCGTGAGAAGAGGCTCAAAAAATCCAGAATCGTAGGAGAGGAAGGGAATTTTCTATAAAATCGCATTGTCAATCGATGCCCCCCTTTCAAAAAATGAATACAAATTTATAATGCATTCCCCCGAAGAATGGAGAATACCTCCAATGCCTCATGAATGCCGACCTCAAAAATACTTCATCATCTCCCTATTTAAAACCCCCTCCCCCTGCCGCACTCATGGAAAGCCCTCTCAGCCCCCACCGGAATTCTACTGTCGAGCGGCATCCAAGTAGCCGTGCGTCATGCTCACTAGTGAGTGGTTCTCTTCCGTGGAAAATCCAAGAACAACAGGAGCAACGGAGACCGAAAAAGCCCGTACCCACATTTCTCCCTCAACCGAATGCTTGCAATGAGAGAGGGTCAATGGCCCCCGGCCGAGAGCCCCTCCGACCTCATAACAACTCTCAAAGAGTCTCCAAAACATCTCACGAAATAGCCTCGAGTCATCGCATTCTCAATTCTCTCCTACACTGAAAAATAACAAGAATTCAAAATGAAAAACAAAAACAACAGCTTCGCCACATAAAAATTATTTTCTTTCTCTGTTCAAGAAAACAAAATAAACCCTGAATTATAAATTATGAATATTAATATCAATACGATTTGAAGTTGAAAAAAATACCCTCAAGTATAAATCAACCTATAACACACATAAAAATTTTCTTTCTCTGTTTAAGAAAACAAAAAAAACCTTGAATTATAAATTATCAATATTAATATCAATACGATTTGAAGTTGAAAAAAATACCCTCAAGTATAAATAAACCTATAACACACAAAAATTTTCTTTCTCTGTTCAAGAAAACAAAAAAAACCTTGAATTATAAATTATTAATATTAATATCAATACGATTTGAAGTTGAAAAAAATACCCTCAAGTATAAATCAACCTATAACACACATAAAAATTTTCTTTCTCTGTTCAGGAAAACAAAAAAAACCTTGAATTATAAATTATCAATATTAATATCAATACGATTTAAAGTAGAAAAAAATACTCTAAAGTATAAATAAACCTATAACACATAAAAATTTTCTTTCTCTGTTCAGGAAAACAAAAAAAACCTTGAATTATAAATTATCAATATTAATATCAATACGATTTAAAGTAGAAAAAAATACTCTAAAGTATAAATAAACCTATAACACATAAAAATTTTCTTTCTCTGTTCAAGAAAACAAAATAAAACTTGAATTATAAATTATCAATATTAATATCAATACGATTTGAAGTTCAAAAACAACCCTCAAGTATAAATAAACCTATAACACACATAAAAATTTTCTTTCTCTGTTCAGGAAAACAAAAAAAACCTTGAATTATAAATTATTAATATTAATATCAATAAGATTTGAAGTTGAAAAAAATACCCTCAAGTATAAATCAACCTATAACACACATAAAAATTTTCTTTCTCTGTTCAAGAAAACAAAATAAACCTTAAATTATAAATTATCAATATTAATATCAATACGATTTAAAGTTGAAAAAAATTCCCTCAAATATAAATAAATAAAGTATATTAATCTCCAACAAAAATATTTTTCAACTCAACTAAAACTAAATTTCATAGAGACGCCCAAAACAAATCACCAACTCAAAAAAACAAATACCTCTTTTCATCAAGCATTTTCAAACCTTGAAAGTTTAATTTGCCAACAGTAAACAGTATAAGTTTTCGTACATAAGACTCAGGTTACATTATATTTTTACCACCACTTATCCAGGAATTCATTAAAAATTGCAAGAGAGTTTTATTGAGTCTGGCCAAATAATTCGCGGACATTCCTTCTCAACAAGAAAAAATTAATCGGCTTTTTTTACCGGCCCTCCGTCGATAACACAGCGCGCGCCGTCGATAACCCCCCGCCCCCCTCCAATCCAGCCGTTTTCATCGGAAAGTGGTGGGGGATTGTTATTGATCCCTCACTTTGTACATTCGCATCGTCTCGTCGAGCCTCCGCGACACACACACACACACACACACACATCGGGAGAAGCCTCCGAGTGTCTCCGAACAGAACCGAAAACACGAGATCCTACGATTGGTCGTCGGCCCGGTCTCGCCGGAGAGAAATACAGAACAGAATATAACAGAACAGAAAAGATCGGAACCGGGCGGCGGGCGGTTGGCGGTGGCGGGGGTGGCGGCGGAGGGGGGGAGGTACGACGACCGTGTCGCCACCCTTGGGTTTACTCAGTGCGTGGAAAGCGGCCGGCCGGCGCGCATCGTCCGTGTGTCCTCTCCCCCGGAGACATTCGATATCTGACTGATAATCTCCGTTGATTCGGAATTTCATCGGTTCAATTGATCAATTGAAATTGACTTGGGGCGTCTCGGCTGAGCGAGACGGGGCTGTTCTTTTTCTTTGAATAATAAAATAAAGTTGCGCGGCACCGGGCCTTCGGCGGGCCCGGCTGCCCCTCACCCTCTTCTCCATATCCTCCCTTCCTCCACCCCCCCTACCCCCCTCTGATTGTCCACCCCCTTTCACCGTTTCAATGAGGATAATGATGTGCTTTTGAAATTGTGGATGACAATTTTTAGTGACGCGATGATGCCTCGTGGCGAGACCACGAGCGTCGAGTGCGCGAGACTCCTTACTGGGGTGCCAGGAGTTTCGGTGAGATTTTTCGGGGGGTGGCGGGCTTTTAGGATTGAGAATTATATACGGGAGAGAAATTTTGTGTGGAGATGCCGCGTGGGGCGGCTGACCCTCGTGTTTCCTTTTCTACTTTGTGATAATGGATTCTAGTCGGACATTCATAACTAATGATACAACGATGCAATTTTCATTTGTCAAGAGTCATTTTGTAGAACGAAAAAATATCTTTGGAATTGAAGACTAAAAATCACCATTCACTCTGTGAAACTCGAGTTATTGAAGATTAAAAACAGGAAATTTTGGTTTTTTCAGTTTTTAGTTACGCTGACCCGTTTTGCCCCATTATTTTTTGAGAATTTGCTGAAATAAATTTCGACGAATGAAAAAATTTTCAGCCGTATTTTTATTACCCCGGGGCAAAATGGGTCGTTTTTTAAAAAAACATCTTTAACTGAAATGGACATCAAATTTTGATTTAGCATGTACTTTATGCGAAAATTGTAGAAAAAAAATTGTTTTGAAAAAGAGATATTTTCATTTGAGTATTTTTTGTTGAATATGTCAAGCGTACTGACCCGCCGCGAGACCTTGAGCCCGTAGACTTTTTGTTTTGATGATATGCACGTTTTTAATTGATGTCCATCTCCCGCCGTTGATCACGAGTGTCTCTATGATGTCGAAGACCGACCCCCACCAATCAATTACCAAATTTTGCAATCACCGGATAAAAGAAAATTGGGAAGCCTCTTAATACCGGCTGTCATTTATTCCTATCTTATCACTCGTCTCCGCATGCACATAAATACCCACAAACACGGGAGAAAATGAAATAAAAACTGCATGCTCTGTACACACACACACACACATATACTATTTACCAACGACATACGAGAGATTTCCGGGTTCCGTCGGACTGTTGACTATCTCGTATTTCGCACTCTTCCCCGAAAGCTATTAAAATTCTATTATTCTTCCAATTACCGTATTTTCGAGGCGCGAAAACAGCTCGCGCGTTTTTCCCCCCAATTTCCGTTTATTCTCCGGTGTAAATTGACGTGCAACACTCCAGGTGACTCGCGGTGGACGGGACAAGCGGAGAAAATGCCCCAGGGTAACGAGAAAATTGGAGAAATGAGGCTGCATAGAGATGATAATAACGAAAAATTTTGTGAAGAAAAAGACACATATTGTGAAATGAACCGAGTGAGAGTGAAATAAAAGAGAAAAACGAAAGTGTTAATTTCCTTAATTTATGATCATCTCGAATGGTTGAAGGGGGAAAAAACGGAAAGCGCGAGCGGCGTCGACGAAAGAGACGAAAACCCGAGGAGACGCGTCAGCGGAACGCAAAACTGGCGTCGTTAACGCACGAGTCACGGGGGACTCGGACCCGTCGACGCACCAACGGCGGTTCACTCTCGAGTCGCGGTAGTGCAGGGATGCAGTGCGGCCTTTGCGCCGTACTCGCTGGGCTATTCAGACGCGCCATGTGCATAGCCGGCAGCAGACGGGGCTCCGGTGAGTCTTGCTATCAAGAATTGACCACTGAACAACAGGTTATGATTGATCAGAAGACGTGCGAGGTCGGGGTCACAATCACCAGCGCTACCCCGGAGAGAACGGGCTCTTTCACGCACAGATGTGTACGGGATGTCATTCCTGAGGTGAGATTCCATGAGCATGAAAAAACTGGGGCGACTTCAGTTGTTGTTATTTCGTTTGTGGCGAAAGTAAGTTTTATTGATGAATTTTTAGTTTTTTTTTTCATGGAACACCCAAAGAAAAAGTACTGATTCAAGTCGACGTCGGTTTGATTCTAACCGATTTTCGGCTTGATTCAGAGCGAGCCACTCGGACTAGGCCAATCCGAATGCCGGGTCTGATATAAGTCGAAAAGTGGTTTATTTCAAGGAGAAACGGGTCGAGCCGACATCGGTTTGAATTAAGCCGAAAAATCGGTTTGAATCACACTGAAAAATTGGCTTGAATCAAACCGACAAATTGGTTTGAATCGAACCGGTTTGTCGGTTTGATTCAGGTCGATTTTTCGGTTTGATTCAAACCGATTTGTCGGTTTGATTCAAGCCGATTTTTTAGTGTGATTCAAACCGATTTTTCGGCTTAATTCAAACCGATGTCAGCTGGCCCCGTTTCTACTTGAAATAAATCACTTTTCTACTTCTATCAGACCCGGCATTCGGATTGGCCAAGTCCGAGTGGCTCGGTCTGATTCAAGTCGAAAAATCGAATTGAATAAGACCGATATTCTGGTTTGCATCTGTCCGAGTCCGACTTGATTCATGCCGTCAATTCAAAATGAAACAAGTCGATGCCCGGCATGATTCAGTCCGACTTGATTCGACCGATTTTTCGGTCTGATTCACACCGACTTTTTTTGGGTGAAATAAGTTGATTGTGTGAGGGAGATTTCAGGCAATATTGGAAAATGTGAGGCCTTGTATGAGCGATGAATGTTAATTAAGTAAAAAATGGTAGCGCGTCAGCCTATTGTACGAGAGGCCCATATTTTTCACGAAAATATATCCTACGGATTTTGATCGGTAATAAGAAATTCTGCCTTAGCGGCGATTCTCACAACGGGGGAGCCTAGACTGGGCCGGACAGTCCGAAAATGACGCTGTGAAATGGTCTAACCCTCTAAGATAAAAAGCGTAGTAGGGCGCTCGAGTGGGGACGCTGGCATTGCGCTTTGACGGCCGTAGAGTGGGGATATTGAAATGCCCCGTAGGGGGTCAAGTCGACTAGCTCTGAGCTGAGTTTTCGAAGAATATCTCCGAATCTAAGGGAGATGGCGAATTTTTTATAATAACCTTTTTTGTAGCTCTCAATTCGCTCTAGCAAAAAGGTTATAACAAAAATTTTGCTATTTGTCTTAGATTCCGAAATATTCCTTAAAAACTGACTAGCAGTCGAAATAGGGAAGTCATCGTTTACATCTCCACTTAATGGAAACGTGGCGAACTCCTCACCGTGTACCTGCATTATCAATCATACGCTCACGCTCACCCACATAATAAACCCGGCGCATTCCTTCTCATAGACGGCTAAAGGGAGTTGTCCTGCTGTGCATACAACACCCACTGGGCAGTAAATAAATTTGTTACGCTCTACCTCGTTCATGAAAATTTTTTCTCTACTCTGTTCCAATTTACAAGAAGCAAACCCAGCAAACCAAGAATTTTATTTCCCCCCATCGTAAAGTCATTTTTATTCTCACAATTAATATGTGCGATATCTCCTTTTTCATCTCTATTTTCATAAATCTCCGAGGGGGATGGATTACGACGCAGAAAACACCAATTTGCGAAACGATTAAATTGAGTTAATCAAGCGACAATTCTACAGATTCATCGGCCCACTTGGGTCTCCCACGCTCATCGATTTATAATTACCCGTTCTTTAACACAAGTTTTATCGATAATAATGGAGTGTCACGCGGACAAGAGAATTTCCGTTGTTGACGGAGTCGTTAAATCGTCGAGTTGATGATAAAAATCACGGAACTGTTGATTAACCCTGTGAGTTGTTTTTGATGTCAATGAATCCTATTAGTTTTCTATTAATAAACATTCCTAATGAGCTAATTGATTCGTCAGAACACGCCAGGAATTCAGTGGAGCGGGGGTGAGAGGCGGAGGATTGATTTAAAATTACAATCAACGCGTGACGACGTGCACTAGGCCCTGTGGTAGAAAATAACGGATAGGTCAGGCACGTTGGACGTGAATATGTATTCACTCGTGATATGTCGTAATGTACGCACACATCCAGGGGGGGGACTAAATCGCGGGAATATTTGAGAACGAGAGCTTGGCGAGAATAGAAGTTGCGATTTCACAGGGGCTCGCGTGTCGGTAGTCGGCACCTGCAGGTCGTGAGGAACTGAACAAAGTTGTAGGATTTTTTTTATTCTTGGAATATTTATGGCTCGGCGAGCTGGTGGGATTCAATGTTCAGGCACAAGTTTATCACGTCATGGAGAGGAATTGGAGCAAATGGGATAATTTAGGCAGATCAAGTTTCGAATTGAAGATTCTTTCAGAAATATTTTTTGCAGGAGTCGCATTTCAAGACTAATGCGTCATTGTTATTGCACACATTTTTTCAAAATTTTTGAAAAAAAAAACCTCTGTAGCTCAAAAATTGGAGGACCTGGACCATTTTTAATATTTTAAGCGTCTGCGGGATAAACGAACAATAAATAATTTTTTTTTTGCACTAATTATTCATTTTTAGACTAGGGGGCTGTGCTCACTTAACCTCACCCTCGTGATCCTTATTTTGACCGTCATGACCCTTTTTCTGACCGTCGTGACCATTATTTTGACCCTTGCGACCCTCAATATGACCTTTGTAATCCTTAATCTGACTCTTGTGATCCTCATTTGGACCCTTAATCTGACCCTCATTATAACCCTTTTAACTCTTATTCTGACCCTCATGATCCTTGTTCTGACCCTCACGACCTTTATTCTGACCCTCATGACCATTATTTTGACCCTTGCGACCCTCAATCTGACCTTTGTGATCCTTAATCTGACCCTTGTGATCCTCATTTGGACCCTTAATCTGACCCTCATTATAACCCTTGTAACTCTTATTCTGACCCTCATGATCCTTGTTCTGACCCTCACGACCTTTATTCTGACCCTCATGACCATTATTTGACCGTCGTGACCATTATTTTGACCCTTGCGACCCTCAATCTGACCTTTGTGATCCTTAATCTGACCCTTGTGATCCTCATTTGGACCCTTAATCTGACCCTCATTATAACCCTTGTAACTCTTATTCTGACCCTCATGATCCTTGTTCTGACCCTCATGACCATTATTTTGACCCTTGCGACCCTCAATCTGACCTTTGTGATCCTTAATCTGACCCTTGTGATCCTCATTTGGACCCTTAATCTGACCCTCATTATAACCCTTGTAACTCTTATTCTGACCCTCATGATCCTTGTTCTGACCCTCATGACAATTATTTTGACCCTTGCGACCCTCAATCTGACCTTGTGATCCTTAATCTGACCCTTGTGATCGTCATTTGAGGATTTTGCTCATTTTGAGCAGTCAATTTGTTTGAAAATTTCGAGGAAATGTTGGTCTTCTGTTACCCCTTAAGACACAAAAATTAAGGGTCCAAATGAGGATCATCGAGGTGATATGGTAGTTCCCTACTACGTCAATAAAATTCTATTAATATGGAAGAGTTACCCAAAATTGTTGTCAAATATCGAATTCATCTCTCTAATTGGATATACTCAGCAGTCCGTAATCCACTGTCATCCCCAGGACTCACCTCAATCCTCAAAGGTATCTCTCACCCATCCGAGCATTACATTATGCAGACTAACTCGATACCGAGCCTGAGACACGCATCCAGCTGTACCTCAAACTCGAGATACCTCGGTTAACCGCCGTGTTATGTACGCAGGGCCACAGTTCGCCGCTCGCTCGAGGAAAATAATGACTGGAAACAAGTGTAGACGAGTCATCCATTCAGGTGTACTCGTTCGTACTTAATGTCCACAGGTACATAATCAGGTATTCAGTATTCCCTCCCGACTCCCTCCAACTGTGACGCAATCCATCGATTAGGGTGACGTAGAGCCGTGTGTAGAAATGAAAAAAAAAGTGAATTTATTGTGGACGTTAAACTACTCCTCTCGGGTTTTCTGTTATTCATGCGCGGAGTTTAATTGGGTATTTATTCAAATTATCATCTTGGAAATTCATTTATCCTTGGGATTTCAGCGGTAAATGTCGCTTTGAAAATGATTTCTTGAATTGAAATTTTTTTTTACATTCGAAAAAAAGAAATTAAATTTGAAGAAAATGGGCATCAATTTTTTTGTTAGTAATCCATTCAAACTGAAATATGAATTGAATTCAGTAGCGAAGTGGGAAAACGGTTTAAGTCGACTTATCTCTTAGTTCAGTTTTTGACGAATATCTCCGAATCTAAAGGAGCTAATGGAATTTTTGTAATAACCTTTTTTCTGGAGCAAATTGGGTGCTACAAAAAAGGTCCAGATAATAATTTAGCTATCTCCCTTAGATTCCAAGATATTCACTAAAAACTGGGCAATAGTCAAAATCTACTTGAACCGTTTTACCACTTCGCTACTGAATTCGTGCACGGAGAGAAAAATACACCATAATTCCGTGAGAGTCCCTCCAAAAATTAGTGTGCTACTCACTAATGCTGGGACATAGCAGGGGGTCACCAGAAAATTCGTATGTGGCACTCTAAGTTTTACGGGCATCGCGCGAAGTAGTGGCGCAAGTCCCTCTAAAAATTGGGGTGCCACATTCGAATTTTTCGATGACCCCCTGTTATGTCCCAGCATTGATGAGTAGCACACTAATTTTTGAAACATTTTTTTCTCAGTGTGGAGTTAAAATTTACTTTCTTTCTTTTCAGATGGCATTTAATTTTTTTTTATATCAAGACTATTTTTATTTTCCAAAGTATTGCGAAAATGAGAAAGTTGATGAAAAAAAAAAATTAATAGGGATAAGTTTTTTATTATTACCTCATTTAAATTGAAGTGTGAATTTAATTTGAGGGGTAAAAATTTGTTTACTCAATTTTTGTTAGAATTCCACGATGATGCTATCACGAAGCTCTCATCGTTTCATTTTCATGATCATTTATTTATTCTTCTTGGAGATGAAAGGAGGTGCCGAACGATGGTTTGGCGGAG